TTGTGCTTTTTTTGTGCTTTTCTGGTGCTATTTTTGCGCTGTGTGTTTCTATGTTTGTTTTTCTTTGTGGTCGTATGTTTTCAAAATCGTCCGCGGCGCGTCCAATTTCGCCACGGAAAACAGCGACGTGTTTCTAGTTCCAGCTTCCAGGAACTGAAGTCCCTCAGAACAAGCTGCGATGAACCACTCTGGAACCACGGTAGCAACACGAGTTGCTGAGCTCCGCGGGCTAGCCTGCCAACACGTGTCCCGTGTGTTCACAGGCAGCACTGTTAATAAAAAAACATTTAAACAGCAATGGGCAGACTGGACGGATCACTTCGTAATGAAGCCCTGGGTAAGGTACGGAACAAGAGCTTGGCGTACGGTGTACGGTGTACGGTATACGGCGCGCGTATTTCGGGAACAACGGGATCACGCACGTCATTGAACCTAAAGGCTCCAGGCTACACATTTGGACCTTGGGGAGGTAACCATCGATTTTCCCTGGCAGGCTCACCTCATCTCACCCTCATCAGGTTAATCCCCATCGAGCCTGCTCCCTTGCTGAGTTCTTCGTGCCCAAATTATTTTTTTCTCTCCTCAAGCAACCTGGATTTAGTTTGGATTTCTGGTCCTTCCCCCACATCTCAAACAGAAAATAATTCATAAACTAGTTTTTGTTCCTCCCTTTCCCACCCCAAACTGAGTATTGATCTCGGCCCAAACCTCTCATTCCATCCTGAAATGAGTTTGGATTCTCTGGTGCTTTTTATGGGCTGTGTGTCACATACAAAACGGAGTTTTGAACTGTTACTGGGAGGGGGCAGGACCTAACCTATGAAGCTCAAGGGTTTGGGGTCTACTGCTTTGGAGGTTATGGAGAGGTTGTGGGTTAGTCACGTTTCATTACGTGCTATTAAGCTCTAAACCCTTAGGTTTGATTTGCGCTTTTGGGCTGGAAACGGGCTTTGGTGGGAGAAGGGTTTGCGGCTGAGGCAGGGTTTCAAGCCTTGAGTTGCGGATTGTTTTCAGGATTTCTGTACGGGCACAAACACTCTGCAGGGGGCTGATTGATTTCAGGTACCTCGGCGGAAGGCTTCCCAGTCTACAAACCGTTGTCGGGTAGCTTGAAACGCCAAACCCTAAACCCTCAACCCTAAACCCTAACCCTAAACACTACACCCTAAACCCTAAACCCTAAGCCCTAAACCCTAAACCCTAAACCCTAAACCCTAAACCGAAGGTCTTAGAAACCTTAAACCCTCAAACCGAAGCAGCAACAGCAGCAACCGCTGCGGAGCTGAGAGCACGACTGATAGGGAGAGAGCGCCTGAGGCTCAGAGCTTAGTTCTTTGGGGCTAGGAGTGCTTATAAAGGCTCTTATAAGCCCCCCCAAAAGCCAGAAAAAAAATGCTGAACATCCCAAACCCCCCCCTTTGCTCCAGAAGGTTGGATGCAACCAGGATAGCAATCCCTGGAAGACCTACGTAGCCAGGCCAACGTCTCGACTTAAAAGGCTTCATTCCCACTGTCTCAAGATTGAACAGTTGACCATCCCGGAATCGGCTCCCTTTGCGCTCGAGGACGCTTTTCGGCTGCTGTAGTGAACTGATGAAAACTGATGCAGGGTTCACAGTGAAGGGGGCGCAACCACTCGTCAAAATCACCTGGATGTCAAGCATCAGCATGAGGCAACACTAAACTAAACCGCCCAGTACTCTCCGAATCGAAGATATTTGCGCCAACCCCAGAGCAAGTCCGAGGGCAGGACACAAAGCAGTTTGCAAAACCTCAGAAGAATGGATGCTGCCGCTCTTTGAACTCCCAACTCCTTGCAAATGGTACCACGGGCTATGAGCATTTGTTATGCGAACCTGTGGGCGGCTGCTTTTATCAAACATCCGATGTAGGCTTCTAGAAAGGGGTCTCGAACAACGCCCTTCTTGTCTTCACCGCACCCTCAACGTGTGCCACATGCTCGCATCAGCCCAGAAGTACTTCAACAAGCAGGGAACTAGCTTGTTGCAACAAGAATGTCAAGAATTCGGGATGCTCCCCCTTATACTGGCAGTCCTTAATCGGGATTTTACTGGAATCCCTACTAAGGACTGTCAGTATAAGGGGGAACATCCCAAGCAAGAATCAAGAATGGACCTTGCTTTCGCAGGGCAGGGGATCTCCCATCACGAAGCATGAGCGCGAAAAGCAGGGCGCTGGCCTCGAAACCCTGCAGCCTGCTCTGCAACCCCTCAAGCCCTAAAGCCCTCACCAACAAAACAAGAATCAAACAGAAAAAGAAAACCAACACAATGAGTCCTTGCACCCCAAAAACCCCAAAAGGCCCTGACAACCTCAAGCCCAACAACGTGAACATCCCAAACACACGGAGCATGACTTCGCAAACGCGCGCTTGGGGCAGCTGACCCTAAACCCCAAAAAAAACCCTCAATTCATTGCTATGCTTTGCTCTAACCTAACACCCTTAGGCCCTCAACCAAAGAAACCCGGAAGTCCATACTTCCCGCCGAAAACCCACACCTGGGAGGCCGCGCTTTGCATGCTGGTCTCTGGACACCGACGAGGGTGGGTGCATGACCAAGAAGGTGGTTATCTGAGCAGCTCGAATGCTTGGGTCTTACTCGGGTTTAGGGTTTAGGGTTGTTCAGGGCAGCTCAGGTAATCTTTGAGTTTTTAGGAAGCTTATACGGGCTCAGGAAGGTGGCAAGTCGAGCAGGTGTAGCAAGGCTAGGGATCATTTTGGCTTTGTGTAGGGTTCTGTAGGCAGTATGAAGTAGGCTTTGAGGGGTTTGTTTGAGAGTTCTCATGCGATGGTCCGAGGCTCATGGTTTCAGGCAAAGCCTTATTCAGGGGTGTGTACCCAGGGCTTCCGGATGTTTATGGTCTTTCGGCTGAAGGCGGCAGAAGTTGTTCCAAACGGGGTCGTCCCCTGTACCCTTTGAGTGGAATGCCTCATTACCTTCCCCCCCCCCTCAAAAAAAAATAAAGAGAAACAAGAGAGAGAGAGAGAGAGAGAGAGAGAGAGATAGAAGATAGAGATAGAGACAAAAACAAAAAGCGGACCCGAACGATGGCGGTCGGCGAGAACCATTGCACCTAGAAGCCCATTCGGCCGTGAATCCCGCCCTCCCGCCGGTTGAAACCCTCGACCCCAAAATGCGCCCTCAGGCCTCTTATCGGGGGTAAGAAGTGCGGAGTAAGAGGGGGGTAAGAGGGGGGAAACGGGCATTAGTGAGGGGTAAGAAAGAAAATGCAAAGCTGGACCCAACGAAACTGGGCCCTGCGCGAATTTAAACAGCGGAATGATCACGGAGAACGTGACCACCTCTGGCTTGGCAGGGCTTAGGGCTTGGGGCTTGGGGCTTAGGGCTTAGGGTTTAGGGTTATAGGGTTATAGGGTTTTAGGGTTTTAGGGTTTAAGGGTTATAGGGTTCTAGGGTTATAGGGTTCTAGGGTTATGGGGACTGTGGAGGGACTTGAGGACCTGTTTGTTGTTCGGGGCCTTTGAGGGTTTTCGGTGCATCTTGGGCAACCTTGATGCTCTCGAACCCCTCGTGCACCATGTCACCACATGCTGGGCCTTTAGCCCTACATACCTGAGACCCCAAACAAGGGCAAATCTCGAAACTCTCAGAGCCCCAGAACTCTGCAAGAAATGCAGCTTCAACCAGCCCCCCCCCCCCCCCCCGGAAGCCCTAAACCCTACAAAGCGAGAAGTTCTTAACTGTCTCCAGCTTCCTTCAAAAGCCCAGCCGCCATCAGTGACGCCAGCGGCATGCCGACTTTTGCGAGGTAGTGGATGAGCTGCAGGTTGGACCTCACAGGGGCTCCCTTAGGGCTCAGATGGACGCTCCTGAAGCTTCGGAACTTTCGGGTTTAGGCCCTTAGGGCTATAGGGTTTCACATCCGGGAAGCAAGGCCCCTCTCTGCCAAAAAAGCTTGAGGTCGAAGTGCCGTACCTGCTGACCCTCAACCATGCCAGGAGGATAGAAAACCCCACAAGGCCGAGGGAATGAGGTACCCTATATCCCCTTATAAATACCCTGTAAGGGATTCTATAGGGTTATAAACCCCCGCCTAAAGCACAGTCTCTCCTTTGAGCTACAAAGCCCGGAGCCAAACAACGACAACTCTGAGATATCCCTATTTCAAGCCCCGATAAGCCCAAAAAAACTTGAGAACGATCCTTGAGCGGGCAACAAGCAGGCTCGCCGAGGCCATGACCGCTCCACCACTGGCTCTGTCTTCAGCACATCCTTGTTCACATGGAGGTTTGGGGTTCATGCGTTTTGTAGGGCTAGGGTTTTAGGATACTTGAGAAGATTTCCCAGTTTGAGGGTTCGGAAATTCAGGTGCATGTTTGACTGAAGGTTGGGGTTTAAGGCAGCATGTGAGGCTTAGAGTTTAAGAGATACTGCGAGGGTTCCCGTATTGCGTTTAGGGTTAAAGGTGGCTGGTGCCCACGAAACCCTAGCTCACAAGCCTTAAGCCCTGAGGTCCAGGCTGGGGGCGAGATCAGGAACAAAGCTCGCGTGATGCCGGCATAGTACCTTGGACAAGATGTGCGGGGACTAGGGTATTTAGGGTATCTAGAGAAGTGTCATGAGCCCTTGTTGGGGTACCCTTACCGGGACAGCCAAAACGGCCACAACGTCGACCGCCCCTTCTATATCTCACTTCACGCAAGCACCTTGCCTTCAACAGCTGAAGGCAACAGTTCCCAATGCACTCAAGGCTCGAGATCGCACAGACGATTACTCCAATCCATTGCCAGCCTGCTGAGAGCGGAGGTTCTGGTCTACTTGCTGTTGGATAGCAAGGAATGAGGGAATTAGGGCCCTACATAATTTGTCTGTTCCTCACCAGTACTTAAACCCTGAACCCTAGACCCTACCAACAATAGAAACATGGACATTTAGGGCAGTCACTGTTTTGGCTGCCTTTGCTCCTCAGGCCCTGGAGACCTCAGAGGATCCCGCGGGCCAGTGAGCTACTCAGCTTCAGGTGAAGACCGACCGAATCAGCTGCTGAATGAAGGCTCTCGACCCTTCTTCGGCCTCGTTACACCTGTGATCCTTGCCGACTGCAAAGAGATGAGCATCTTCTCTCCTCATGGAAAGGGTGTAGGCCACACGCCGCCACTGGCAAGTCTGCATTCCCTTGAGAGTGGCTGCTGTAAACTCAACTGCGTGGTCGCTGGAGCTCAGCATTCCCTCTTGGCCTGCTTTGATCAGATCTTCTTTAAGGCTCTCTTCGAACTCTCTGGCGCAACTGTGCGCCTCAGGGCTGGTCACGAAAGCTGTGCTGCCGCTGAAGCCATGAACAGCGTCCACGCGCCAAAAACGTTCCCCGCTGCTGGGTGATGGGAACGGATTCGTGGAGCAGATCGCCGCGGTGCAGAAAGGAACCATGACATCAAAGTGAGTGGCAGCGACAGCTGTCCGACTCTGGAACTCTTTAAGGCATGCAGTTTCATTGGCCAGTTGCTCCAGATAGCACATACCAGCTTGGCTGTCATCATGCAAGGTCAGCTGTCTAAGATACTGGAATTTCCCAACTAGTCTAGCCAAAAGTCCCCCCAAACCCTTCCACCAGTTCCGCACTCCCATGTGGGGTGAGTTGAGCGTGATGAGATGCCCAAAGCTCACCGGCAATGTGAATGTTTTCAGAAGGGGCAAAGCCTGTCTGGTGATGAGCCCTCCAAGGGAGTGGCAAACAAAGTGGAGGACAACACTTCGTGCACCCTCCTTAGCCAAGGCTTCGACTTGAGCTGAAACTTCGCCTGCCAGGCTTCTTGCCCATTGCACAATGCAGCCGCTGCCGTTCCAGAAGCAGCAGGAGGCGGTGAAGGATTCGGAAGCCATGGTCCTCAATTCTGGCTTCAGCCCTGCTAGGCAACTGACCCAGAGATCGAAGTCACTGGGGAAGCCGTCCAAGCCGTGCACCATCACAACGAGCTCGACAGGTCGATTGCCCTCTGGCGCGGCATCCGTCATGGCGATGGAACAAGGCCTCAACCCGAGATGTGGAGGTCCTGGACGTCCATGTACCACCCAGTAACAAGTCCCCTACGTAGAACAACTTGGGTTGCTGCTGGATCATCAGTAAAGTTTGTATGCTAGAAATAATCCGAAACCCTAAACCCTAAACTTTGAGCCCTTAACCTTAAACCCCCCGACATCCAGGATCCCTGAAAAGCTTTGGTCAAGGTCGCACCAATGCCTGGCATCCCGAGTCCATGTGTCGGATCTCTGTTAACCACCCCAAGCACCTAATATGGGGGGTTTCCGACCCTTTTGGGGGGGTTCTCATAGTAAGCATTATAGTTTTTTGGGAGCAAATTATAAAGGGTACCTCTATTTTGGGGACCCCTATTATCAAAGCCGCCCCAAAACCGGGAACCTGAAAAGGCACAGGCTTTATGCGAACGCGCCTTGGAGGGGAAAGTATTGCAGCTTCAACCTTCTAGCCCTTGAAATGCCAAGCAACGAACATGGCTCATATTCAACAGAAGATCTGGACTCTCCGTGCCTGAATAGTTGTTAGTTGACAGTAGGGCCACGTAGTCCTACACCTCTAGCCCCGAACCCGAAACCTGTTGAACCCCGCACTGGCTCACTCAGAATGGACCACAGGTCCCCCAAACAATCCCAACTCCCTCCTCCCAAACCCAAAAAGCCCGCTCTCCCGGACTTCCCAGCACGAGTGGGCCTTTCATCCATGTCTCCGAGTGCAGAAGCGCACGCCTGGAGCATCCGCTACGCCATGCGACATGTTGGGAAAAGTGTACTAGAGAGGCGTCGGGCCAGGGGTTGAGGGTGCTGGCTGCCATGAATTTTACGTCGCGGCCACCAGCACGACCCAGAAGTAGCATCGCAAAGAAGTCGCTTGCAGTTCCTAAGGTCCTGTTAGTAGAGGATCCCTGAAAAAACTCGCTAGGTGTATACCTTTTGGTCCCGAGTTTCAATCTCGCGGAGCATCCCGCAGACCATTTCGCCCCCCAATTTCACCGGATCCCGCAGTGCTTCTTTTCGGAATGTTTCACCGGTGAAACATTGCTACTATTTGCTTAAGAACCCCCACCAAAATGAAAAAATGACAATCCCTATATTACCCTTATAAGGAAGAACATTTGTGTTTTTTGGGGGGTTCTTAAGCAATTGGTAGATTAAACGCTGCGACCCTGGCCCTCTATTGCTTTTGGGGCGCAGGCATTAGGGCTTAGTGGGCTTAATGCCAAACCCTACCCTAGAAATTTTGCACACGCCAAGCCCTAAACCCTCTAAACCTGTATAAGCCCGAAGAGCACTAGCACCTCAAAACTAGGATTTCCATGCCATATTCCCAATTTCGTTTGTACTTACACAACAACTGACTATCGTAGTGCGTAGGGTCCGTTTAAACACACGTTCTCAGGGCCGCACCACCTGGATTCCTGAGACATGCTGGGAGATCCTGGGACCTGCAGCGTGGGCTTAGGATTCAGGTCGGCATCTCGTCGTTCAACCAACGGTTCGGTCAGGGGGCTGACTGTGGGAGGGCGGTTCTACTGGAGTGTGGTACGAGGCTGGTGATTGACCTAGCTTTGGCTTTCATGGCTTCCTCATGACTCAAGCCCCAATGCCTAAGCTTGCTTGATGGCAGGACCCCGGTAAGTCGGCTCCCGTGGATATCGCGGCCTGCTCGGTCGTCATGCTTTTTCGTTGACGTTGCCTGAGGAAGCCGCGGGGAAGTTTGCAGGGATTGATGTACTAGGAGCGCATGCCACATGTTGAGGCACCATGTAAGTCCAAAGGGGAGGGACGGCGCTGAACAGCAAAGTACTAACTATCTACTATCTGGGTTTGACCTTCAATGACGACAGTTGCATGCCCTTGACCATTTCTTCTGCAGCTCTGCATCGGGCAGTCATCCCTCTGCCGTTTTGGCGATAGCTTGCCAAAGTGAAGTGCTTGCATTGGGGTCTGTGTCAAGTGTACAGCCCGTTCGGCCGCTCACGTCGCTAGCGACTGCGCAGTAAAAGTTTCGATTGCTTAATCTCACGTGAGGAACTGGCCGTGCTGCTTGCAAGAGCAACCAATAGGTCGGATCATGGGTGCTCTTTCAGCATGGGATGCGCTTCCGCAGGCCCAAAAGAACTATCAGCATCTTTCGACACTGAGCCATGCCTTTAGCAGATGCGGTTCCAGGCACCATCTGCACGCTCAAGGATTGCAGGTTTCCAGCTGTCGTGGCCGTTTGCAGTTATGTGGCTGCCGTAGTCCTGCATTTCCAAACGCTGCACGGTAACGGTCACAGTGGCCTTGTCGTCAACATCAGACATCGCCACGCTCGCCTCACCAATCGCACACAGCCAAGCCGACTGTTTGTCGGACTGCGTGTCTTGCCAAAATAGGCAAACTTTGCTGTGACCGTGCGTCAGGATATCTTCCACTTTCCGCGTCCGCTGGCGAGTCGCCACGGTGACGGATGAGAAGTCCTTGGCCACATATTTCTCTCCAGGCGACACTAAGCGAGAGCGCGGGAAGCCCTCCCCAGATATGGTGGTCATCCCTGCAACGAGCACGCGGGCGGCCAGAGCCCGGGCCTTCTCCAAGACTGGTTCCGGGCCCATGGGGACTGGAGTCCAGTCGGATGCATAAGGCTGGCTGCGGTCTGCACCTTTGTACCACAGCCCGCTGGCCTCGTCAAGCTCCCACTCCTCCGACAT